TTTGCCCAGACCTGGCTCCAGAGAGGGCCTGGCATTGACAGTTCACTGAGACGTCTTTCTGGGACCACCAGGAAATGGAGTCTGTAGAAAATCTGCTAAACTCAGGCCTGGGGTGGGGTTAATTTCGTGGGTGCTCATAGGAACATCAGCTTAGGAGTTCCCTATTTAACTCTGTGTGATACAGCCAAAGTGTCTGACTGGCCTCCTCTCAAGTCCTGATCCCAGGCTTTATCCTGCCCCTATTGAGAATCTTGGCCCTCTCACCTTATTCCCAACAGCCCTTTCCCTAGAATAGTCTTAGGGGACTCAGACGTGTGTCCTCACAGTGACCTGAGAACTAAACCCTTGTTATCTCTATACCCAGCATGTTCTTGGATTGATCCCCTTGGAAGTCAGCCTTGGCTAAGCTGAATTTCTTTTCTATGCTACCTTGGCTCTGCTGCCCTCCTTCCGCCTCCCCAAGAAGCAATCTTTTCCATCAAGGTTGGCTTCTTCTATTCTACTCACTGAATTTGACCTTCCTCCCTTCATGGACCTCTGAATATACCACAGATGTACTGGGTCATGACTTTTCTGATGACCCAATATTATTCATGGTGGCAAGAGACTAAGATACCTGGTTTCTAATCTTAGTTTTATCTAGTGATTCTAGGCAAGTCTTTAACTACCCTGAACCTCAGTTTCCTCATCTGTAATGTAGACATCATAGTACTTTACTCCATCCACCTCACAGGGCTGCTGAGAGATTTATTTGAGATAATATATGAGAACTTAGTATGCTTAATATAAAGCTTTTTGTAAATATATAGGAAAGCAACTGAAAAACCAATGGAATGAGGGCCTAGGATTTAAAAACCTCCTTAAAACACACTCAGTCTTACTAAATACCTATGGGGAGGGCTGAGCACTGACTCAAATCAGGAGAACAATATATTTCTCAGAGGTTCTTTTTTTTTTTGAAAGGTTTTCTCTATAGGGCGCGTGCGCTAGCCAGACAGACAGAGAGAGACATAGAGACAGAAAGTGAGAAATCACCCCCCGGGAGGATGGCCACACCGCAATCCCTTCTTCTCCATTCTCCTCTCGGGATCTTGGGCATGCATGCACACGTGCCTGGTGTGAGTTCTAAGCCACCAGGTCCGGGACGCGAACCGCAGTCGACTACGTGGGAATCCAGCGACATAGCCATTACGCTAACTGCTGGTTCCCTCAGAGGTTCTTGATTTCCCCCAAAGTCTTAAGATGGATTTTTATTAAGTCTGATTAGAAGAACTAGAATTAAGTGCAAGATAGAAATTGGCCTGCAAAAGGCTAAACTGCATATCATAAACTTAGATTTTTATATTTCTTTGAATTTTGTATTAAATAATTTATCATCTTAGGGATTTAAAAATAAAAGTTGGTGATTGATAAGCAACCTTTATACTTCTATTTTAATAAATCAATATTTATGTCTGGGTAGGGGAGAAGTGAGAGAGCTGGAGAGGGATAGAGAGAAAGAAAGTGAGAAATCACCCCCTAAGGGAGATGGTCATACCACAATCCCTTCTCCATCCTCCTCTTGGGATTTTGGGCATGTACAAACATGTGTCCAGAGTGATTTTCAAGCTGTTGGGTCCAGGACAAGAACCTCAGTTGGTCACATATGAACATCTAGTACCTTAACCACCACACCACCTGCTGGCCCCAAGAAGGGGTTAAGAGTAAATCTCAGAGTCAGCAGGTGGCAGAGTGGTTAAGGCACTGAATTTCCACATAGTTGACCATGGTCCTGTATCTGGTTGCTTAAAACTCACACCGTAACATGTGTATGCATGCCCCAAATCCTAAGAGAATGAAGAAGGGATTGTGGCGTGGCCATCTCTCTCAGGGGGTGATTTCTCACTTTCTGTCTCTCTCTCTGGTGAGTGCACATGCCCTATAGCAAAAATTCTCTCTCAAAAAAAAAAAAAAAAAGGAAAAGAAAAGAAAGAGAGAAAATCTCATACTAGGCTAAGCATCCTAATCGACCTTATCTAGGAACATTTCAGCTGGTTGTCCTCTGGTCACCACCACCCAAGGCACCACCACCATTCACCATGTGGGAAATAAGAACTGGAGTTAGGGTAGGCCCCAGGCATAGATAACCAGCTGGGAGAACTCAGGCCAGTCTCTCAGTCCAAACCTTGACAGGATAGATTAGGAGCCAATGGGCCAGGGGGGTGCATTTGGTTTCAGATACTTCTTTAGTTTTCATTTTTGTTTTTTTGCTCTTCACAGTTCCTAACCACATTTTGATTTTGAGTTATTGACAGATTTGTCACTTTAACCTTAGAAGAAATGACATAAAAATTCTGAATTTCAAGTTACTCTTGAAAGTTGGAATATCTGGCAACTATGCCCCTCAGTGGTAATTATGGGGATTTGGATATAATGGAGCAAAAGTCCTCGAGGCTCCTTAACTCTCAGTGGTCATGCTGTCCTCGGTAGGATTTTTAGTAGCTTATCTAGGTAAAGAACCTTACAGCCTGGTTCTAGCACAGGAAGAGGGGAGGTGGGAAATCAGCTATTCTTTTTCCCAGTTTTTGACTCAGTGTTCAGTGTGAGATACAGGGTGTGGCGAGGATAAGAAAATGTGGTCTTTGTTCCCCCATGGAACTAGAAACCATGAAACAGAGCACTAGAGCAAGATAGAGAATTCTCCCTAAAGGTGCTTCCTGGCCTGGCAGAGGCTTGGTAAGGGGAGATAATTACCTTTTCCAGAAGTACATAATGACAGGGAAGAGAGACATGACAGCCGTGTGGAAGATGCCGCGATCCAGATGGCCTTCCATAATCATACCAATGATGGCTTCCTTCTGGGACTCAGGGATATTCACCTACCCACAGAGTAGGAGCCTGTCATTGGTGGAAGCTCCAGGGAAGGCAGGAAACCTCTCTTGGTCCCTAGGGCCCTCACCACCACCCTCTTCCCTGGAAGGCAAAAGCTTTTTTTTTTTATGGGGTTTCTAGGTAAAGGATATCTAGTTGGCCCAGGCAGCACTTAGGAGGTGCTTGACAATTGGCTTCTAGGGTCCTTGTGGAGGGAATGTTTCTTGGCAAAAGGCCAGAGTTGAGTGGGAGTCCTCCTTACCCTCAGCTTTGGAGGGATGTCGGAATTCAGGAAGAGCTTTAGGATAACGTTAAGTTTGGCCCTCATGAGGATCACATCATTCTCATTGTATGCCCGATTGGCCTGCAGCATGTGAGCTGAACTCACCAAATCGTTAAATCTAAAAAAGATGGTTCAAGTATGAATTCAGCAAGGAGGAGATCAAAGCAGTAACTAGAGAGGGCACATGGCCCAAATCTGTTTCTGGCCTAAGACAGGAGAATTCTGGACCACATTGTGACTTCATTCATTCAGTCTTCATTCATTCATTGGTAAATATGGAACACTACTATGTATCAGATAACCATGTTGAGTATCTCTTCAAGTGTATTTCACCAACACAAGTGCCCTTAATTATGACACTCTCCTCCTCCTTTACTCATCCTGGTTCTGTAGCAGTTTCACCTTTGACTACTTCAAGGGCTAAGGGCTACTCTTCTCTTTACTCTTTTGTGCTGGTATAAGGTAAACCTCTGAGGTCCAGGTAGGTCCCAGTCATGTAGAGCACATTAGGAATGAGAGAAGGCTTGGACTTTATTCCAGTGGAAATGAAAAGCCACTAGAATTTTTAGGCAAGAGAGTGACCTAATCAGGTTTATGTATGTGTGTGTGTATACACACACACACACACACACACACACACACACACATATATATATATATATATATATATATATATATAGAGAGAGAGAGAGAGAGAGAGAGAGAGAGAGAGACAGAGAGAGACAGAGAGAAAAAGGAGAGAGATTTTTGCTATAGGGCACGTGTGCTTGGCAGAGTTACAGAGAGAGACAGAAAGCAAGCCGCTACCCACCAGGGCAGATGGCCACACTGCAATCACTTCTCCTTCATTCTCCTCTAGGGATTTTGGGCATGCATGCACTTGAGCCTGGTGTGAGTTTTAAGCCACTGGGTCTGGGACTCAAACTGTCATTGACTATGTGGGAATCCAGCAATATAACTGTTATGCCAACTGCTGGTCACCAGGTTTGTACTTTTTTTTTTTTTTTTTTTGCTATAGGGCACATGTGCTACCAGAAAGAAATTACCCCCCAGGGGGATGGCCACACCACAATCCTTTCTCTTCCATTCTCCTCTCAAGATCTTGGGCACACATACACACGTGCCTGGCATGAGTTTAAGCCACCAGGTCTGGGACTCGAACCACAGTCGACTACACGGGAGTCCAGCAACACAGACGTTACACCAACTGCTGGTCCCCCCAGGTTTGTATTTTTAATAGACTACTGTGGTTGCTGTACAAAGTACAGTTTGTAGAAGGCAAGTGAACAAGCTGAAACCATGGCAGTGAGAACCAAAGCAGCAGCATGGGAGGTGATTCACTCTGTTCCCTCTGACCCTTCTCTCCTCCACCTTATAATCTGACTAATCTCCACTAATCTCCTTCAATATTGAGTTTAGGTGACCTGTCTTCCAAGAAGTCATACTTGAGGACTCACGGTTGTCTAAATGCATGTCCTGTGCCTGACTCTACCATAGCTCCTTTCGTCTCAAGACACTTTCTACCTTTTATCTGTATCTTGGCTTCCATTAGTTTGGCAAGTAGAGAACATGCTTTAGTTGTTTTTGTACTTTCAATGCCAAATCTAATAAAGAGTAATAAAGTGTCTAATAAAGAGTAAACAATCAATAAGCATTTGTGGAATAGACTATACCCCTCACTGGGGTGCAGTGGGAGTCTCTAATCAAACCCTCTTAACTGATGTGTGACTTACTGGGTGCTCTGCACTTCTGAAAAACACACTGGCTGATGACTATGGCGAGCTCACTGCACAGACTAGTGGGCCATCTTTAGGGCACTCTTACACTTCTCCAGCTAGTTGAGGTGACTGTTTACCAGTGGTTATTTGTGTTTCTTCCCTAAAATTTTTACCTATTGTGCTTGTTACCATAATTCATAAGTTTTGAAAACGGACAAAATATGAACATAAAAAGTATTTGTTGTTTTTATGAAAACGAATGAGAATGCTTTGGAATGTTCCAATAAAGCTAAGAGCTTTTCTTAAAAAGTTGCTTTTGTGTTAAGTATGACATGGCAATTTAAAACATTAAAAAAAAGGTAGGAAAATCCAAGAGGATTAAGTTGCTTTGTGGTAATCTTTCAATTCTTGTTCCACTTTTTTAAAAAATCAAAATTAGGATTAATAAACAACAGTTTAGGTACAGCTTAGATAGATAGATAGATAGGAACTTCCTATTCGTGAATTGGCTTTGGCTTTACATAAAATGCTTGACAAATGAATGACTATCTTTTGACATTTTTAACTTAAAAAATATCTAATGTTACACACACAATCATTATTATGCTTCCTGGCCTTAACTGAAGAACTATTGGTCCAATGGTGCTACAGAAGAGGACATCTTTCAAATGGATAAATAATGAAGAAAAATTGCTCAATTTCCTAGGAATAAATAAGTGCATTTTAACATTGAAAACTCCAGAACACTGAAAGCCATTAGGGCCCAAAGGGGGAAAAAAAAAGTGGAAACTGATGGAGTGACAGAAGTCAGTGGGATTTTTAGGAGCCTTCTCATTGGCAGGGTTGAAATCACTCTCCTTACAGGTCATGCCAGCCTTGGTTTGGGGGTACTCCTGATGTAAAGACAGAAGAGGAAGGAGAGATGGAAAACTTACTTTTCCATTTCAGAAAAGAAATATAAATCATTGATCACAAAGTTGACTGTGATGATTCTATGGCCAAGTATACGGCGCTTCATAAGGGTTACATCTCCATTTTCTTGTTCGGCACTCCGGACGTTTGTGGATGGTAAGGTTGGACGTCCTGATACGTTGGGTGATGAGGAGAAATCTGAGAGAAAGAGAAAGGAATTACAATTAAGTCACTCTTAAGCCTGAAATCTTGAACTTGGACATGACTAAAAGGAAGAAGGGAGACTGTGGACCTAGCTTTGGGGCCTGTTGAAATAAGTCATTCCATAGGCTCAACCTTTTACTTATACTTGAAGAATTGCCAAGAGCCATCTGCACAGATAGTATGACAAAACACACATAAAAACAAACAAAAAAGCCCCCTAATCAACTGAGGATGTATTCCTGGTGTTTGTCCAATAGAAATATAATCACATTGTAGTTACACTAATCTCTAAGGTTTCTGTGGCGATGATGAAAACTGAATGTGCAGATGGAAACTTCAAAATAGAGTGTACAGTTCCGACAATGCTCATTCAAAGGTTTGTCAGAGCAGTGACTTAGATGCAAACTGGGAAAGCAGCACAAAAAAAGAGTCAAAATATTGAGAGTAAAGAATAAGTTTATTAAAGAAACACAGTAGAAAGCTAGATTAGAAAAAAGGCAGAAAAGAGTAAGGGGAGCATAGAAGGTTCTAGAAGGTTCAGATTGTATGACAGAAAATTAGACATTTTAGGAAGTTTTTTCAGTAGGATATATCCAAATAGAACCATCCATAGGGATTCCGGTCAAAAAGAGACCAGTTTGGAGCTGGATCTGACAGTTAGAATGACTAATTGCCTGGCTGAATTTTAGACAAATTCTAAACCCAGCTTTAGAATTTACTATGTTTTCCATTACATTGTTCATTCTGGAGTCCTGTTCAGGAATGATTGGTGTGGATGTGGTGCTCCTTGTGGTGTAAGTGGGATTCTCATTCTGGGCATATGTGCATGCATGCCTAAAGTCCTGAGAAGAGACTGAAGAAGAAGGGATTGTGGTGTGGTCATCCACCTTGGGAATGATTCCTCACTTTCCCTCTCTTTTTCTCGGTCTCTTTGGTGAGCACATAGATCCTATAGTTTTTTAAAAATGGGAGGGTAGCTACAACACTCAGTCTCTTTGGTGAGCACATATATCCTATAGCTTTTTAAAAATGGGAGGGTAGCTACAACACTCAACACATACCTAGCCATACAATAGCTCTCTTTCTCAAACTTGAGTTTGGAGGGAAAAATAATTCTGAGCAACAGTGGAAAATAATTAAAGAATAATTCATTGAAGTTGATTTAGAAGTAACACAAATATTAGTTAGACTTTAAGTGCATTAAATGGATATAACTGTATGAAGGTAAGGAATCTGAGGAAAAGAGGATGCTAAATCCATCCAAGAAACAGAAATGATAGCATGCTTGTAAACTGTTTCTGGTGGTAGAGGGGCAGACCTGACTTGTATTATTTGCTGATTTCTAGAATAAATATTCCCACTGTAATCAATTCAAGTTTCTGATGGTTTATCAATTGGCTCACTAAATAGCTGAATATTTAGCAATTGTCTCTCACCAACCAGTGTGAGCAGCTTCTGCTCATTATTTTTGTATCCAATTTGTCAAGTCTTATTGGTTCCATTTAAAAAATATATATTTCAAATGTACTCACTATTTGTCTTTCTTGCCTCTGTATTTGTGCAAAACAGCATTACCTTTCATTTAACTTATTGCAAAATGACTTAACTGTTCTCAGAGTTGGGACCACAGTAAGGTGACTGAGGTGCTTAGAACGCAAAATTTAAGGAATCACTCACTATCAAAATGGTACAAGTGTGGAGTTGGCACATGCATGACACTGAGAGTCAGCACTTCCCAACTTTTGTGCCTATATTCCTCACTTGCTTCACCGCATTTTACCACCTTGCAAGAGGGTTTGTTCCACAGTGCAAGGAAAGGAAACTCAGGCAAAGTCCACTGGACTCTCTGAATTGAGGAGCTGAAACTGAGAGTCCAGGGAAACTAATGTGATTAGAGTTTCCAGGACAGAATTCAAGGAGGAGACAGCAAATCCCAAAGATTAGTTCTTCAAGTGTTCAGCAAAGTACTGACCAGCTCAAGCATGTAAAGTCTACCCCAAACTGGGGAAGGGGGTCATCCCAAAGCATCCGAGAACTGTCTTTGGTGCTGATACAGGGGACAGAAATAGGGCCTATGTCTGCCAGCTCAACTAGAAAAACACATATTCCATGAGGAATTTTGTAGAATACTCAAAATGGTTTTCGATCAGTAGTAAATAACTAGCCATACGTGGAACATGACTCTGGATCCACCTAACAAATCATGAACACAACTACCAAGAGGATCAAACAGTACTCAAGTAATTTAAATGCATCTCAGAACAAATATTTTATAAGAATACAAAAATACCCAACACCTAACAAGATACAATTTACAACGTCTGAGAAGCAAACAAAGATTTACAAGCACATAAAGAGGCAAGGAAACATAACCCATAATGAAAAGAATAATTAATTGAAGTTGATTTAGAAGTGACACGAATATTAGTTAGACTACAAGGGCATTAAAACGGATATCATAATTGTATTCTATAGCTTAAAAAAAGTTAGGCAGGAGCAAGTATGGCTGACTAGAGGACTCCCCGAAGAAGGAACAAAATGATAAATTAGATTCACTTCAGATCAAGTGCCTGAAGAAAAGCACTAGAATTTAGTACGTGCTTTCTGTCATGATAAAATAAATTAATTTAAAAAAGAAAAAGTGTCTCCTCATTAGGAATACAATAATTCTCCAATAAGATTATGTAAAAGGAATTTGATAGATGACAGATGTGGAATTCAGAATAATGGACTTCAAGAAAACTTAAAAGAATACAAGAGAATTCAGAGAAAAAATTCAGTAAGATTAGAAAAACAGTCCATTGATATGAATGAGAATTTAACAAACAGATAGACATCTCTAAAAAGAACCACATAGAAATCCTGGAGATGAAGGTGATACACGAAGTAAAAAATACAGTTGAGAGCATTAACAACCAGGTTAGATCAAGCAGAAGAAAGAATCTCTGAACTTAAAGGCAAAATTTCTGAAATAACTCAGTGAGCCAAAAAGGAAAAAAAAAATTAATGAAGAAAAATACATGACCTAAGGGACACCATTAGATGATTAAATATTTGTATAATGAGAATTCCAGAAGGAGAAAGGCATATGAAACCTAATTTATGGAATCATAACTGAAAATTTCTTGAGTCTAGGGACGAATACAGATATCTAGATTCAGGAACTTCAAAGGATGCCAACATAAAAAGATTCAACATAAAAAGGTCCTCCCCAGACACATCATAACCAAATTGTCAAAAGTCAAAATGAAAGAATCCTAAAAATACCAAAGAGTCACAAATAAAGACAATCCCATCAGACATCTCAGCAGAAACCCTAGAGGCCAGAAGAGAATGGGATGATATGTTCAAAATTTTGAATGAAAATATTTTAGGCTGGCTTTGAGATAGTACTAACCTGCTCATGAGAAGCTGGATCTCATGTTGTACCTCTGGTTCAAATCACCCAGCCTGGTTAGGTTAAGACATGCCAGTCAGGCATGTGAGTGCCCAAGATCCAATGGACTGGAGGGATGGAGGGATGGAGGAAGGGGATATAACAGGGGCCTGCTTAGCCAGATCGACTCCCTCTTTTTAAAATCAAAAATTGTTTCTCTCTCAGCCTGATACTCTTTGAGGTTTCTCACAGAAACTCCAAGAAAACAAACAGCCATCCTGGAGCTTGGAACAGTGAGGGATACTCTGCCTAGCCACAAACTGAAATTCCTGTCTTTGAAGATGGATCATTTGAATGTACCCTTTAGCTAAGACTGAAACTCTGGTCCCAAAGAAAAATTTTTGATTGTGCCTCCAGCTAAAAGTTTAACCTATCTATTCTTTTCTATGCTTTCCTTTAGTGATTGTAAGACACATAGGTCCCGACACGTAGGTTTTTGGTAAAGTCATGATGTATTTGCCATATTTTTCTATGGGAGTGTAGAGACCCTTGTCTGACAG